AGATCTCAACTATAATGTACGCTAAAAGGCTATTCCAACAATTCTTGGTTGATGCGTATACTATGGTTGAATCTTCGAGATTGCTATATATTAGGTCAAATCAAAAAGCTTTGAGATGTGAGGCGTACAAAGGTCTTTCTGATGCGTTAACACGAGGTGAAGTGCAACCTAGCTCTCAAGGTAAAAGAATAATACTACCTTCAAATTTCACGGGAGGAGCAAGATACATGATACAGAACTACCAAGACGCCATGGCAATTTGCAGATTTATAGGTTATCCAAACCTGTTTATTACTTTTACATGTAATCCTAAATGGCCGGAGATTCAGCGCTTTTTGGAGAAAAGAAATTTGAAAGCTGAAGATCGTCCGGACATTGTTTGCCGAATTTTCAAGATGAAGCTAGATTGCTTAATAAAAGAAATAAAAAATGGGAAACTGTTTGGTGCTGTAAGGGCAGGTGCGCTCCGCATATTCCTATAAAATCATTTTTTAATACAGTACTTAATGATACGAATCTTAGAACTCACATCATGTAATCGTTTTTGCAACAGTTATATACACAATTGAGTTTCAGAAACGGGGTCTTCCACTTGCTCACATATTACTGTTCCTACAAGGGACGAGCTGTTTTGCCAATCTTGCTTTTATGGACACGATCATTTCGGCCGAGATCCCAGAGAAGTTGAAGGACATCGAGTATTACAAAGCGGTCGAAGAATTCATGTTGCACGGCCCGTGTGGTGTTGCCAGGAGTAATTCACCGTGCATGGTAAATGGCAAGTGCTCGAAGCATTTTCCAAAGAGATATATTGATGCATCCCATTTTGACCAGGATGGTTACCCGTTGTATCGAAGAAGGGATGATAAGAGGACAATAAAAAAAATGGAATAGAGTTGGACAATAGGTATGTTGTACCACATAATCGGTACTTGCTCTTGAAATACAAAGCACACATTAATGTAGAGTGGTGTAACCAATCTAGGTCAATCAAGTACTTATTCAAGTATGTGAACAAGGGCAATGACCGTGTAACGGCTGAGTTTTATAAGACTACAATGGATGAAGCTGGTAATGAGACGGTGGATGAAATAAACATGTATTATGACTGCAGGTACATCTCTGCATGCGAGGCAACCTGGAGGTTGTTTAGTTTTGAAGTTCAGTACAGAACTCCACCGGTTGAGCGACTAAGCTTTCACTTGCCTGACTGCTAATCAGTTGTGTTCCAAGACGATGATACTATTGATCATGTCCTGAATAGAGAAACCGTTGGGCAAAGTATGTTTAACGCATGGTTTGTAGCCAACCAGAAGTTTAAAGAAGCGAGCTTATTAACTTACATTGAGATGCCTACCAAATTTGTGTGGAAAAAGGACATCCGTGAATGGCATCCAAGAAAGAAGGGTTTCTCAATTGGTCGGATATTCTATGTACCACCAGCTTCAGGAGAAATTTATTATTTAAGGTGTCTATTGAACATAGTCCGTGGTCCAAAAGGCTTCCAAGATATTAGGACAGTTAATGGTGTTGAGTACTTGACCTTTAGAGATGCATGTTATGCTCATGGATTGTTAGACGATGATAAAGAATACATTGATGCTATAAATGAAGCAAGCTACTGGTCAACTGCATATTCATTAAGGAAGCTATTTGTTGTCTTACTAACATCCTCATCAATTATTAGGCCCGAAAATGTTTGGAATCAAGTGTGGCAACATTTGTCTGAAGATGCTCAACACTGTCAAAGAAGAATATTAAAACAACCAGGTAATGTGCTTTTTTATACAATAATATCAATTAAGTTATATGGATAACTATCTGACTGTTGGCATCGTAACAGATTTGGTCTTAACAGAGGAAGAGAAAAAGAACTTTGCATTGTTCGAATTGGAAAACCTATTGGGGCAACAAAATAAATCTTTAAAAGACTATCCTCCGATGCCAATACCAAGTACAGATAATTCAAGGTTGTTTCAGAATAGGTTGGTTTTTGAAGAGTTATGTTACAATCGTGAGCAGTTGAAAGAAGACGCTGAAGTGCTGTGTGCAAAACTAACTGAAGAACAGAGTCTCATCTATGATACGGTTATACAAGACATTGAAGACGGTAAAGGTGGCTTATTTTTTGTTTATGGTTACGGTGGAACATGAAAGACTTTCTTGTGGAGAGCGTTGTCAGCTGCAATCCGATGCAAAGGTCAGATCGTTTTAAATGTCGCATCAAGTGGCATAACTTCTCTATTGTTACCAGGTGGCCGTGCTGCTCACTCAAGATTTGCAATACCTATTGCAATAAATGAAGACTCAACCTGTAACATTAAGCAAGGTAGCGACCTGGCTGAATTGTTGATAAAGACGAGTTTGATAATATGGGATGAAGCTCCCATGATGCACAAACATTGTTTTGAAGCATTAGATCGAACTATGAGGGATTTGTTGCGTTTTGTAGACCTGTGTAGTGAAATGAAGATGTTTGGTGGTAAAACAGTTGTTTTGGGTGGAGATTTCCGCCAAATTCTCCCGGTAGTTCCAAAAGGTACACGGCAAGATATTGTTTCTTCAACCATAAATTCATCATATCTATGGGATAGTTGCAAGGTTTTAAGGTTGACTCAAAACCTAAGACTAAGTTCGGTACCCAACGGTGGAAACCGGCAGGCATTACAAGAATTTGCCGATTGGATTGCTAATGTCGGTGATGGAAAGCTGGGTGGCCGGAATGATGGTTTCGCAGAGGTTGAAATTCCAAAGCACATGTTACTGCCATCCGGAGGGGACGATATTAAAACAATTGTGCATAGTACATTTCCTATGTTTGCAAATGGAAACACTGACCCCGAGCATCTGCTAGGTCGTGCTATATTAGCACCAACGCTCGATGTGGTCAACGCAGTCAATGACTATATGACTGAGTTGCATAATGCCGAAAGCAGGTCATACTATAGTTCAGACACAGTATGCAAAGCCGATGGCGACAATAGTATATTTGGGGATGTACACACACCGGAATTTCTAAACAGCATTAGGGTGTCAGGTCTACCAAATCATGCATTGACTTTGAAAATAGGTTCACCGGTAATGTTAATGAGAAACATTGACCATTCTCTTGGTTTGTGCAATGGCACTCGGTTGATAATCACAAAACTAGCAGACCATGTTATTGAAGGCGAGATCCTGACTGGACCTAACAAAGGTACAAAAGTGTTGATCCCCCGAATGTCAATGTCACCCTCTGATCCAAGATTGCCGTTCAAGTTTCAACGAAGGCAATTTCCAATTATGCTTTCATATGCAATGACCATTAACAAAAGTCAAGGACAAACGTTGACTCATGTTGGTTTAATACTAAAGAAACTGGTTTTTGTACACGGCCAGTTGTACGTAGCAGCATCTCGGGTTAACAATCCAGACGGTCTCAAAATATTGATAGTCAAAGACCCAAGTTCAACTACTACATCAACCACTAATGTTGTATATCACGAAGTTTTCAATAATTTGTAATTTTGTAAAGTTCTCTTTTCTTAGTTCCATGGCCTGGCAACTATTTGTAATATACGATTTTCATATGGTTTTTGTTGAATTCCCAATCATATTTCATTTACTAGCATTGTGTACGCGCGATGCACGAAAATTCATGCCCAATATTAAAACATTGATAAATATAAATAATTAAAAATTATAATTTGAATTATATATATACAAATAATATATGTATTTTGTACACACACATATATAATTTATCATTCATAGAAATTTAATTAAAATATAATTAAGTATTAAATTAATATATAATGATTTTAATAAAATGATAATTAAAAATAGGAAAAAGATATGATAGATATAGGTGTATGGTAATAATGATGTGTTATTAAAGTTAGAATTAAAAACTAACGGTGTTATAACGGTGTAAGGGTAGTTTTGTCTAATAACATTGGAATGTGCAACATTTAAAGTAAAATGTACACATTTATTTGCATACAAAAAGAGGGACATAAATCAAGGATATAACTTTCATTGAGGCTTATTATGTTTTTAGATATGTTATAAATTTTAACCGCATTACTTCAAACAATTTGTAACATAACATACACACAATTAATACTTTTTAATTTACATACCGTGCAGCGCACGGGTCAAATACTAGGATATATACAACTGTTACACTTATAACATCATAAAGACTAAGATGGTTGGATAATGGGATAGTGTAGTGGGATAATGACCATAATAAATACATATTTATAACAATTCCCAATTTAATCTAATAATTTAACATAATTTTTCCTTTGGATTTAAGCCATCGTTATATCGTGCGCCCCGCCCTGTCCAAAACGACGTCGTTTTGTTAAGTTGTGTGAAAAATTGAGGCGACAAAGTTTATGTGTATTCAGTTATACAATTATGTACATTCTGTTATACAATTACGTACATTCTATTGTACAATTATGTACATTTGAAACATGAGATTTTTTTAAGAGTTATGAGTTTATGTGTATTATGTTAAGAGTTTATGTGTATTATGTATTATTATGTGTATTATCCTTTCAAAAAAGATTATGTGCATTCTGTTATACAATTATGTACATTCAGAACATGAGATTTTTTTTTATTTTTTTTAAAGTTAACAGCAGACACGAGAACGTGAATTTCTAAAAAAAAAAAAGTACAAAATAACGTCGTTTTGGGCAGGACGCATAATACATTGTGCGTCTTGGTGCACGATATAATTTGCCCAATTTAAGTGGAAGTGTTCAATTTAATCAATTTTAAAAGCCCGAGTTGTAAAAAAAAAAAAAATAAATAAAAAATAAAGCCTGAGTTGTAAAATGGGCTCCAGTTCATCCCAATGAGGCCTATAGACTAAGTATCCTCTTGTAAAAATGAAAGAAATAAGCTGATCCGGCCCGTACCTGCTTCAAAACCCTAATTTTTCAGAGCTAGGTTTTACGTTAGCTTTCACGACTAGTATATAAACTAAGCTATCTTCTTCTTCCTCCTCTTCGTCATTTCAAACCCTCCGTTTTCGGCCTCCAAACTCCTGATCGCAGAGAGAGCGTAAAATGGCTCAAGAATGTCTCGTCCTCCGCGGCACCATGAAGGCCCACACCGATTGGGTGACGGCAATCGCCGCCCCGATTGACAACTCCGACACAATCGTATCATCTTCTCGGGACAAGTCAATCATCGTCTGGAACTTGACAAAGGACGGCCCGCAGTTCGGCGTGGCCCGCCGCCGCCTCACCGGCCACTCCCACTTTGTTCAGGACGTGGTTCTCTCTTCCGACGGCCAGTTTGCTCTCTCCGGGTCGTGGGACGGTGAGCTCCGCCTCTGGGACCTTCAGGCCGGCACCACAGCCCGCAGGTTCGTGGGCCACACCAAGGACGTGCTGTCCGTTGCCTTCTCCGTCGATAACCGCCAGATTGTGTCTGCGTCCCGTGACCGCACCATCAAGCTGTGGAACACTCTGGGTGAGTGCAAGTACACTATTCAGGACGGCGACGGTCACAACGAATGGGTTTCTTGTGTTCGCTTCAGCCCCAGCACTCTCCAGCCCACCATTGTTTCTGGGTCGTGGGATAGAACCGTGAAAGTCTGGAATTTGTCCAACTGCAAGCTCCGTTCCACCCTCGCTGGGCACACAGGCTACGTGAACACAGTTGCTGTGTCTCCTGATGGCTCTCTGTGCGCTAGCGGAGGCAAAGATGGAGTGATTCTGCTTTGGGATTTGGCTGAAGGGAAGAAACTCTACTCCCTCGATGCCGGGTCAATCATTCATGCCCTCTGCTTCAGCCCTAATAGGTACTGGCTCTGTGCTGCTACTGAGGCCAGCATTAAGATTTGGGATTTGGAAAGCAAGAGCATTGTTGTGGATCTCAGAGTTGACCTCAAGCAAGAGAGCGAAATGTCAGCTGAAGGAAATAATACTGCTGCCAAAAATAAGGTCCTTTCATTTATTTTATCTATCTTCCTTTATTCTTTCTTTATATGCTTATTATTGCTAGTAATAGTATCATGGTTATCAATTACTGAGTATATTTTAGTCTATGTATCATTTGCCTTAATTTTGTGTGCATTAGAAGTGGTTCCTATACTTGGATAAGTTCATTCTTGCCTCCATTGTAGCATTTTTTATTAAGGAAAGGCTTCATAGCTGGCATGAATTTTAAAATTTATTTTGTTGCTATTGCACTGATTTTTTATGCTCTTTACCTATTTGTATGAAATGGTACTCAGATTCTTAGAATATGTATCATCAGTAAGCTGTGAATTGTCAATTTGTTGGTAAAGCTTCAAGCTTTGAATCTGTAGTATACCAATTGAAATTGAAAATAAAATGAGAAAGGATCTTGATAATCTCTGAGGATAACAATGATAAAGTGAGAGCATCATATAAAATGAAATCAATTCATCATCTTGTGAAGAACATAAATGTTCTGTAACCTGCTATACACATCTTTTTTAGGTTCTAATGTGGTTTTGAAGTCATATTTGTGGGAGTATGATTAATATCTCAAAATTACAGCTGATATTGAACTTGTGTCTTGTAATTTTCTGTTGTTAATTGGTATAAGAAGTTTAACCCATCTGTTGTATTTTATTATGGCAGATCATATTCTGCACCAGCTTGAGCTGGAATGCTGATGGATCCACACTTTTCAGTGGATATACAGATGGTGTCATCAGAGTCTGGGGCATAGGTCGATACTAGATGGAAGAATTTAGAAGAAGTCATATGATCATAGGACATGTTTGTTATTTAAGTCATCTAGAGTTTTTTGTTTAAATTGTTCCCCGAGGATATCCGGTTTACTCCTATGGTTTGTGTTTTTGAGATGAATTGTTGTGTTTTTTGGATATTAACAAGCATTTTGTGTTTGCAACAATATTATAAATTCATGTTACTTTTACACATTGAGTTTAGATTCTTCTCTCATTGAACATCTTTCATTTATTGTCTGTTTGCTTGTGTTATAGGAATTGTTATCCTTCTTTTTTTACATTGTGCATATTTTGCAGGATAATTTGTAAGGCGTGTATTATACGATTGAAGTTGTGATATGCCAACTACACATACCACCATGAACTATATATTTTGCTGTTTACATAAGCTGTTTTCTTTGTGTTAACACCTATTTGTTCAGTTTTTTATGCTGTTTTCTTTATGCATAATGGAGTACCATGGACCAGGAATCATGGCATGTAAATAAATTTAAGACATAATATGTTAATTACATATACAAATTATAAAATGGTAATTATAAGTACGGAATATGTCAATTGTGGTTTATGCCTTTATGGTATAATTTGCTATATAATTTCTGTGTGAGTTTAATTGTATTATTGTATATTTGTATATCCTAGTTACCAAATAACCCCATATTCATATTCTTTCCAAATTTTACTGCAGTGACCAATTGAGCTGCCCATGCGCGCCCATATTCATATACAATTAGGGATGTCAATTTCAATCCACCCGGTGAATATTCACTCGAATCCACCTTGCATGGTTCGAATCCACCTTGCATGGTTTGAGTTTTTTTGAATGATAGTGGTGGTGGGTCGGGAATGGGTTTTAAAAAAAGTAAATTTGCAAAGGATCGGGTTGAATTCGAGTTCTATTTGTAAAATCCGCATAGAACCCCACCATGTATATATATTGTAAAATAAGTATTAGTATATACGGAGTAGTTGACTGTAAAAGTTTCAATGACTTTGAACAAGTTGTTACTATTTTTATATCTAAAAGACTAAAATTACTATATCACTTGTTGGTAGAAGAAAGAATGAAATTTTGGGATTCATCAAAGAGAAAGTGATGGGAAAGATTAACAGCTTGAACAATAAGTTCCTATCTAAGGCTGGTAAAAAAATCTTGATAAAAAATGTGTTGCAAGCCATCTCAAGATATGCAATGAGCATCTTTCTACTGCCTCAGGAATTATGCAGCAAGATTGAGATCGCTTTGAATGGATTTTGGTGGAAAGGCAATCAAGCTGATGGGAGGGGTATTCGATGGAGCAAGTGCAAGCCAAAAGCAGCTTGGGGGATGGGATTTCGGCGAATTAGATATTTCAATATTGCCCTTCTAGGGAAGCAAGTCTAGAGATTAATTCAATTCCCCGACTCGCTTGTGGCTAAATTGTTTCAAGGCAAAGTAGTACAAAAACTCTCATTTCTTTGAAACCAAACTGGGAACCAGTCCATCATTTGTGAGGAGCAGCATTGGAAAGTCCCTTGCTCTATATTGTGTAACATGTGCTCAAACCATCCAGAAACAATTGACCATCTGCTAATATCCTGTGAGTTTGGAAACTCACAACAGTCGAGCCTTTTTAGACTCGTAACAGTTTTATCTTGCGAAACTCTAACGGTCACTTCATCGTTGTTAAGGATCAAGTGTGTCATGGTTACTACCAACCCAAAGAGGCAGAAGCTATTAGCATCACGGAGGCTTTGGAATGGCTAAAGGAGATGAAGATTGATTATGTACATATTGAATCAGATATTCTTCTCATCATACAGGGACTGAACAATTACAGCTTAGTTTCCTCTTTTGAATTAGTCCTTGAGGATATTCGTAAATTAGCTAATGAGTTCCAGAGTATTAGCTTTTCGTTTGTTAAGCGATATGCGAGTACGACAACTTATCTGTTAGCTAGGGAAGCCGTGTTCATTGCTGATTGCATTGTTTGGGCTACTTTGCCCCCTTCTTTTTTTGTACGATGTTATCTCTTCGGAGGCTTCTACTTAAGTAATGAATTTGCTTTCAAAAACAAATTTATTTTATAAAATTAACAATTTAGTTATTATATTTGGATATTTTTATTATTTTATGTTTTAGTATAACTGATAAATTTTGTTATTTTATTATGTGTAAGTAATTTAAATATTATTTTTTGAACAAAAAAATTAATAAGATGATAAGTCGTGGGTACTCGTAGTGAGCACTCACACCCAGTGTGGTGAGGTGTGGTGGGGTGGATTTTGGAAAAGTTCACCGAATGCGGGTTGGGAATAGGATGGGTGGAAAAATTATAATATAAGTCAGGTGATGGATGTAGCTCTCTCGAACCCATTGTCATCCCAATATACAAGGCAAATTATGCTGTGCATCCGTATGGCACCATGCATGGTGCATACGGATGCAAAAACGACGTCGTTTTATTAAAAACGCGCGTCTCCCCTTAAAAAAAAAAAATCAGGTTCGATCCCAGCAACAACATATGAACTAAAATTCTAGAATCGATGAACTATAATTCCATAATCTATGAACTAAAATTCCAGAATCTAATCTATGAACTAAAAATTCCAGAATGAATGAACTAAAATTTCAGAATCTATGAACTAAAATTTCAGAATCGATGAACTACAATTCCATAATCGATGAACTATAATTCCAAAATCAATGAACTAAAATTCCATAATCTATGAATTAAAATTCCAGAATGAATGAACAACATAACGCTGTTGCTGGGAATCGAACCTAAATTTTTTTTAAGGAGAGACGCACATTTTTAATAAAACGACGTCGTTTTTGCATCGCACGATACATGGTGCATACGGATGCACAACATAAGTATCCTATATACAAGAGTAAATACCCAAAATGGTCCCTCGACTATAGCTAAATTCACAAATTGGTAATCGACTTTCAATTTCAACCAATTAAGTCCTTAACTTTGTAATTTTAACACAATTTAGTCCTCTGTCTATTTGACCGTTTGTTGACTGTGATTTTTGAGGATATATATGTAATTTCATGGTCCATCGTCGGTTTTTTAAGGTTCCGGTTGCATTTCCAGACCGCACTGTTACATTTGAATCCACTATCGAAAGCAATCTACCAAACCCGGTCACCTTTCTTCATCCTCCCTTTGGATTCAATATAGTTGAGTTCGTACCAGAGCGAAGACGACGTGTTTCCGAACCGGTGCAACGTCATCCTGGAGGCCTCCACGTGCTCCGACGAGAGCTGAAGGTTCTTCTGAAGATCGTCGATCACGGTCAACAAACGGTCAATTAGATGGAGGACCAAATCGTGTCAAAATTGCAAAGTTAAGGACTTAATTGGTTGAAATTGAAAGTTGAAAAACAATTTGTGAATTTAGCTATAGTCGAGGGACCATTTTGGGTATTTACTCTATATACAATCCTATCTTATAGGTTTAATACTACCTCAATTTCATTTTGGGCTTGTAAGTAATATCCATTGCCCAGAATGCTATCAAGTAAATTGGGCTTAGTTCTCATTATCAAATTCGGCCTGTAAGGATTCTCTTGGCAAATTATATCGTGCACCGCGGTGCATAATGGATTATGCACCGAGATTCTAAACGACGTTGTTTTGTTTAAAGAAAAGAAACGGCACCCGTTTCATGCTATTCTGCAAAAAGTAACTTTGTTATTCAGTTTCATTTTGTATACACTGCAGTTTCAACACCCCTGAATTAGTGACTGACCTGCGCCCTATAGCTCTCAGTAATGTGATTTACAGAATCTTGGCAAAAATGTTATCTAACAGAATGAAACCATTGATGGAAGAAATAATCTCTGAGTCACAAAGTGCCTTCATCCCAGATAGATTGATAACGGATAATATCCTACTGGCTGCGGAGGTAGGGCACTTTTTGAATAGGAAGCAGTGTGGAGTGGGGGGATGGAGTGCTCTTAAGCTGGATATGGCAAAGGCATATGATCGTGTGGAATGGTCTTTCCTTAGAAAGATGATGCTGGCTATGGGGTTTCATGGTGGTTGGGTGGAATTAATTATGAAGTGTGTAACCTCAGTTTCTTACAATATTCTGGTGAATGGCTCAAGATGTGATCCTATTGTGCCAACACGTGGTTTGAGGCAAGGGGATCCTTTGTCCCCATATCTATTCATTATTTGCGCAGAAGGTCTACAGCAGGCACATACTGTGGGGTCATTACATGGATGCAGGGTAGCCAGAGGTGCTCCCCCAATTTCACACTTATTCTTTGCAGATGACAGCCTCTTATTCTTTAAAGCTAATGTGGAGGAAGCAAGTGAAATCAAAATATGCCTATCTGTGTATGAGGATCTGTCAGGGCAGGCAGTAAACTATCATAAGTCAAGTATATGTTATAGTAAGAACACAAGTATGACTGATAGGGAAAATGTGGCTGAGATTCTGGGAGTGACACAGGCCCCGAATTTTGGTAAATATTTGGGACTCCCCTCTTTTGTTGGAAGGCACAAGAAAGCAGTTTTTGCATATATTGAGGACAAAATCCGCCAAAGGATTGGATCATGGAATAAGAGGCTGCTGACTCAGGCAGGTAAGGAAATTCTGTTGAAAACAGTAGCACAATCTATGCCTACGTTTTCGATGAGTGTTTTTTTGCGGCCTATATCTGTGTGTACGGCAATAGAGAGAACTATGAATCGATATTGGTGGGATTCTGGAACTGACAGGCGAATACATTGGAAGGCTTGTGATAAGTTGTGTATCCCAAAGAAGTATGGAGGATTAGGTTTTAAAGACTTACGTGCGTTTAATCTAGCAATGCTGGGGAAACAGGCATAGCGGATGTTGACTAAACCTGAATCTTTAGTGGCTCGTGTGTATAAAGCCCGATATTTTCCTAAAGGATCTTTTTTTGATGCACAGATAGAAAATAACCTAGTTTCTGTTGGCGAAGTATTATGGTAGCAAAAAGTATAGTTTGCAGTGGGGTAAGGCGCATAATTGGTAATGGGGAGTCTACACTCATATGGGTTCACCCCTGGTTACAAGATGATCATGACCCTATGGTACAAACAGAAATGCCAGCACAGCTGCAGGAAGCCAGAGTGGCAGGTTTGATTGATCAACAAACGGGCACATGGGATCCCTCAATTTTAACAGATTTATTCCAACCCAATGATGTGGAGAATATTATGAAAATAC